CACTAATGCTCTTGTGGCTGAATGAGAAGCAAACCACTGCTGCCATATCTGACTATCTGAAGTCTTCACAAAGGGAAGCAGAGGGTGTTATAGCTGCAGATAGATTCATGCCCACATGTTCAGAAATCCCCTACGGGTGTAAAATGTTGTCCACATGCTCTGCCATGTAGTGCAATTAGATTTTTATGTGCTACGGTTCTCAGATATCTGAAGCTAAAATATCAACTACTACTTGGCTATAACAGAATCCAAATTTTGTTTGTAGGTGCTCAAAGCAGTGATTTGCATGGCTAGATATCATTAGGGTAAAATGTTTGTGTAGTTTTGGGTGAATTAAAACTACACAGATGAAATTCCTTGACAGATTGCCAGGGCAAAGGCCTGTCAGGTAGTAGGGACACACCTTCCCCCGCTGACTACGCTGGCTTGTTACAGCACGCACGACATATCAATCAATGGAGAGCAACAGAGAAAGAGAGAGAGAGTGGGTGGGAGGAAAGCGTGGGGAGAAGAAAAGCTAAAAGAAAAGGAAGATAATATCATTTAGCAAAGATTCAGACTTCTTTTGCGGCTCTCGGTGTCGTCTTTCTTCTGTTGGGATTCACAGTCGATCAATTGGTAAGTCTTGTTTCATTTTCCTGCCACTCATTCAGCAGATTGTGTTGGTAACAACACTGCGGTTCCAACTGTCAACAAATCAATGCAACCAACCAGCATTACTGCTACCTGTGTAGGAGAAACTATCAACTTTTTGGGTCTTTCTGAGGATCTGAGAATTTGCAATTAGCTGCAGTATTTTCTTGAGAATATACAGTATGTTTTCATTTAAATGTGTGTTACTTTTAATTTGACAACAGTGATTAGATCAAATAACATTGTGCAACTAAATCTGTGTAATCTATTTGTTGAACAGTTTCTGTGTGAATGATTTTCATTTGTGTGGAACAGGTGTGTTTTAGTAAGTATGTGCGTGAGTCACACAGTACAAACAAACACACCTTTTGAGTCAGTCAGGTTTTATAGTCTGTAATGTGGTTACTTGTTTTACAAGGAGCTATGTTTGTACAAAACATAATAAAAAGTAAAAAAAATAGTGGGAATAGGGGAAGGAATAAAACTTAAATCAATCTGTATTGTAAGGAAAAAGAAAACAAACAAACAAACACAAATAGTAAAGGTAAAAAAAAAAGACTCACAATGACAGTGACTCGCTGATTACAGTGTCTCATTGTTGGACCATTGCACAATGTGACACAGTTTCACCGGCTGGGGCTGCTTTGATGTCACTGTTAATGTGGTTTGACTGGCTTTCAGTAAACACTGGCCATGCGGTCACATTTCATTGTGTCTCTTTCCTCCTGAAACCTGGAGATGTGGAAATGCTTTTATCCAACAATATTTAATGAAGAAAAGAACATCTGTGGTAGAAAAAAAGCTTTATCTGTTACATCACAAGCACAAAAATGTTAATATTTTTAGAAAAATATAAATCTTTACTTTTGTTTTGCTGTTAGTGTCTATATTGTTTTATGAAAATAGTGAAAGCACATCTTCTGTTGACCACATATAGCCTTTTTTATTTGTGTCTTGTACCTATCTACTTACTAATTTACCTATTTAATAGTTTTTGTTATCTAAATGCGCTTTATTTTATTTCTAAGCATATTTGTGCTGCCTTTAAAATTGGTGTATCAATTAATTTATTGTTCTTTTCAGTGTATAATTAAACTAAAAACAAACAAACCAACAACAAAACCCAAACATAACTATATGAATTAATTATTTTCTCATTTCTCAACACAATGTTTTAAAGTGTTTTAAGCCCCACCTCCCAGATGATACAAATTAAACGCTTAAGGCAGCCTTTTTACAGCATGCAACATCATGTACTATATGTATACATGTATATATAGTATATACAGGATATACAATAGGTGCAGTTCTAAATGTCTTCAAAATCCAATACATTTCTGTTTGTTTGTACCTGTAACATTACCATGGTGTGCATTCACCACTACAGCCAATTACACACTGTTTTACACTGTAATAATCCATAATTACTACACAAGTTGCTTTGCTAGGAATTATCAAACAGGTTTGTCAGTGTGAATATGTGATTATATGCACAGGAGTACTGACACTACATAGTTTGAGTATCAACAGTAAAGGGCGTGCTCTGAAACCAATAGTGAAGATATGTCGAACAAGTGATGACGTGTATTTTTAAAACTACGAGAGCTGAGGGAACAGGTAATTTAGTGCAACAGCGTAGTTCACTAATGTGTTTTAAATATTTTATCAACCTTTTAGGTCACTTAGGTCTTAAGGAAGCAGACAGCTTGAGCCAAACATGGTGATGTTGCATTCACAGTTGCTACACACAGATGAAATCGACTTCCTGATGCAAGCAAATTTGCAACCTAACTTCTATTTCCTACCAATACATCGTATTTTGTTTGTAGTTTCTATTTACAATCTCAATCTAAAAAGGAAGCCATCAGAGAAATGCTGGGAATACTCAAGCGAAGTGTAAGATAAAAAGCTGAAAGAAAGGGGTGACTTTTGGTCATACTGTGTCTATTTCATGTGTATTATTTTTGCTGTATTTGTATTTTATGTTATTCTACCTTCATTGATTAAACCTTATGTCTTTATTATATTTCTACATATTCTAATGTATTTCTTTGCCTTATGTATAGCACTTTAAGTTGCCTTCGCACTATAACTATAAAGTCAGAAAGAGAGAATATGAATCTCAGACCAAATCATTGCTCAAATACTGACATAAAAACACAGTGACTGTTGCCTTTTGCTCATGTCTGGTCTCGTTGTTCAGGAATTAAGAATCTCCGTTTAAACCTGTTATACTTGCGCCACACTCCCACACTTTCCTGCAGAAATACATAGGCATACATGTATTGTCAAACTGAGGCCTGTGCCAGATAAAACACATAGTAGGAGTCACAGGTGAGGCTATTTATTAGTCAGAATAAAAGTCTCTACAAGTCAGTTTGTAATAGTAGGCTCGTGTCAGGACTGAAATGGTTTCATATTTTGGTTACTTTTGGGGAAAAGTGCCCTGTAAATACAGCCTCATAATTGATTATGTTAAAAAGCACACTTTTCAACCCTTAAAATGTAAACATTCTGAGTCAAACCTTTGAGTAGTCAGTGAATCATTCACTAATATAACCCTTTTGGCAGGTGACAAAAATGGCAGTTAACATATCCTCCGGTGCAGTAAATGAGACCATTGTGGATAACCAAACTGCCACCACTATGGGCGCCCTCATCCTGACCCTCGTCTTTCTATTGGGATTCCCTGGAAACCTCTTCATCATCTGGAGCATCCTGGCACGTGCCCGGAAGCAGTCCGTCACCACCCTTCTCATCCTCAACCTAGCTATCGCCGATGGCTCTCTGATGGCGCTCACCCCATTCTTCATCGTCTACTTGGTTATGAAGAGGTGGGTGTTTGGGAATGTGATGTGTAAGATCCTCTTCTACCTCTGCCTGGTCAACATGTACGCCTCCATCCAGCTCATCATGCTCATGAGCATCTACAGGCTGGTGGCAGTGCTGTGGCCGCAGCGCCTCAGTCTTATCACTGGTCGGAAGACTGTACTGCGGGTGCTGGCAGTGGTGTGGGTGTTGGTAATGATGGCCTCTGTTCCTGCAATGATCTTCAGAAGGGTGGAGCCGAAGAACAACACTGGCGTGCTAGTGTGCGAATCATTCCATAAGGGCAAGAACGAAGTGAGTGAACCAAGACCTGAAGATATTATCTTCACATTATTAGTAACAATTATGCACTCTCCACCAAAGCTGCTAGATCTTCTAAATGTGTTAGATGAATAATAGAAACATGTATGAAGGGGTTTTCAGTTTGCATCAGAATCTCAGGATTTCAGTCATCCATAGCCTGTGTTTACTACATTTATTACATCCTAGTTACTAATCTCACACTCTTTGACAGTTTGTCAGGTTGTTCACTGTCTTACTGGGCCAGATTACCCACAGTGCAAGTTTTGGGGCTCTAAACTAATAATTATTTCAGTTGGCATTCAGAAGCCAAGCTGGCAACTCTATTACCCCATAAGATAACACACAAAACCATCCACACCATTCAATCTAAAAAAACAAACAAACAGATTTGCTGAATTCCCTAATCATTCTCTCTTTAATAATCTCCATAAATCAATTTACCAATCACAATCTTGTCTCTTTGACTTTGAGATTTGAACTTGGCAACATTGTAAGATATCCATCATATTGGCATCTCTGGGTTTTGAAAAAAAAAACAAAAAACGTCTTGCTGCCTTTTCTTGTGAGTTCACATGATGCAGAATATTAAAATATTAATTTTCTATTTTTGCCTTTTTCTCATCTCATCTTCTCTGCACAGACGGTTCTCCAGTACATGCTAGAGCTCGTGTTGGGTTTTTTAATCCCCTACGGGGTCATTGTAGTCAGCTACATACGTATCTTACGGCGGATCCAAAAGACCAAGTTTGGCCGTCGCATCCGTAGTGAGAAGCTCATCCTGGCCATCGTGTTGACCTTCTGCATCTTTTGGTTGCCCTACCACTTAATCAACGTGGTGCAAGTATGTCACACAAGTAACACATTCTTCCAGAAATACTATGGCTATTAGTCTAATGCATTCCCCATGCATTCAGGTTTAATATTATTTGTCCATTTGTCAATCAATTTTTCACTTTTATTAACTAATAAATTTTGTCTTGTTCTCAGATTACGTCGGCTTTGTGTCCAAAAGGTCCAGTAAAAGAAAAGTAAGCGATGACACAACAATTTGGATGCATCTTATTTAGCTATAGCTAATATTAAAATTCAACCACAAACCAATCGTCAGCGCTGTCATCCTTTACATAGTGTACAGTTGGAAAGAAATTAGTCAAGTGTAGTTGTCAGAGTCAAATTGGGCCATTTAATACCTCACTCAACATTTTGGAAAATAGGCTTATTTTCTTTTTGAGAGTTAGATGAGAAGATTAATATCCCTGGGAGCATTAGTTAAATATGGAGCAAAACCCAGGAGATGATTAGCTTAGCTTAGCTTAGTATAATGAAAGTAGAAACCACTTGCCTGACTTTCTCCAGTATTCAAAATTATGACAATCTCAACCTCTAAAGCTCATTAACATATATCACTTTTTTACGAAACTGTACCCAAATACCGCAGAAATGCAAAAACAATGTGTGGCTTTGCGGGGAGTTACATTGCTACAGCTATTTCTTGGCAAATTACTTTTACAGAGATTTTGCATATACCAAAAGTCCTGGGCACATGAATAAACTGTTGAGCACCAGAAATGCTTCCAGTCTATATGCTAAGCTAAACGTATCACTTTCTGGCTCCTTAACATACAGACATGAGAGTGCCTTAATGTACAGATATGAGAGTGGAATTTATCTATCTATTTATCTGGCTTAGAACTCCTACCTACAACGCACACCTTTTGCACTATTTTATTTAACTCTTCCACTTTAGTCAGTTTTAGTGTTTTAGCTTCACGTTTTAGTTTTTTTAGTTTTAGTCAACGTTTCAATTGTCTGCCTCATATTTTGGCCTCCATGTCCTTACTTTAACAACAAATACGTGTTCATACTACTTCACATTTATAGTTCTTTATACACTTCTCACTACTACAATAATATTAGCCAATACTTTTACTGTGCCCTATTTTATGGGGGTTTTCTTTTCTGGCTGCTCATTGCGCTGCTTTCGCCCACTTCGTTCATCTCACTACATTCCGCCACTGCATTACTGACTCGTTCACAAATCAACCACGCCACCTACCCAAACTTCACATCTATACTTCATTCAACAACAAACTCTCATCTTACAGCACAAGACACACACACCGTAAAATTAATCATCGTTATATCAATCATTCCACACACACTTCCTCTACTCCAACAACACTCGCAATTTAATATCTACCCACAAGCTCATCATCACGTAACGTATACGCTACATATTCAAAGCCGTACCGCCGCACATTGTCCTGATGATGAACATCTTAACACTTTGCTAGTCAAGGTGATATGCGAACCACACTACAATATAATGATCAAAACAACATCAAAAGAAATTGTAACACTCACATAAAAACTAACGAGACAGGATTTGGTGTAAACATGCAAAAAAATGATTTTGATTATACTAAATAAAGAGAAGGGCAACAAAGACACTCAAAAGAAAAGAAAGGTTGGACGTACAATATGGAGAAGTAGAAAAGAATGATGTAAACTACTCTCACAACTAAGAATTAACAACAACGAAACACGGCCCACACCACACCAGCAATAAGCACACCCCACGCGCTGTGACCAACACACACCACCGACCTGCGCCTCTACTTCTTTGCAGGAAAGTCTTACATCCGGCGAGAGGGACTTGCGTTCATGGCCCGCCTGTTTGAGGGCACAGGGCTGGACTCGGCTAACAGGAAGAGCCGACAGAACAGCCAGAACAGCCGCGACAAAGATAAAGAGGCAGATGCAGTCATGCTAAAGGAAAAAGATCCAGACTCTGTTACCAATTCGAGCTCGCATGTCAAACCAGTAAGGAATGGTAAGTAGAGGACGCAAGACGCAGAAGGCTTGAAGCTGGTGTTTATCCTCTGGAGGGGAACATTAAACCACTCACGCCTTCAAATCTCCATCCAGTAACAAAGACTGCTAATATATGGAAAACACATTCATCATGCACAGCTGGTTCCTGCCAATCAAGAAAAGATTCAGAAGCACTGCTGCATAATGTGAATCTTTCTTCCAAATGATACCGTTACAAACCCGGGATGTAACTGGGATGACTGATCCTGGAACACCTTGCCGCCTGATGGATTCCAAAGTGATATTGTTGTGCTTAAACCTCACAACACATCAGAACTGTTTATTTGATGATACATGAGCCTCACTCAGCTCTGAATTATTTTATATAAAAAACTCACCACCCCAAAACCCCTGTTTAATTCAAGAGACATGCATTAAAAAGAGGTGGTGCCTTATGATTCTTGTACATGTTTACTTTTACTGTAATTTATATTTTTTTTTTGCAAGATTTGTCTGTGCCATTATGTTTCTACAATGTTTTATTGGTCAAAATGCTTCATGGAATCACAGAAATATCAAAATGAACTGAAACTGTGGTGTTTTTTAGGAAAACTTGCCATTTTGTTACAGAAAAACAATAGCAATACAACAATAGTTTTTTTCAGCAAAAAAAAATGAAAAGCTGGCCTGTCCCTCAGTATGAATGTTTTACTTTTACAAAAAAAAGTTTGTATAAAAACGTATTAACCTAAATTACACAAAACCTTGTGTGTCATTTCTCTTTTATGAACTTGAAGTGTCTGACAGAGGGCAAACTCACTGACAAAAGTATAAGTTAAAAAGTTTTTAGTTTGAAATTTTGAATATATAACCACAACTTTTAAGCCTCTCATGGATACATTTTTTGTTAACCTTCTTACTGTCAACCTTGTTACCATTTTAAGGTTTACTTTCATCAACAGGGTTGATCCAGAGCTCTCTGGATCAGCCTCTATATTTAGAAAAAAAGGGAGGGCAAAATGGAGAAAGGACAGAGACACAGGGATTAAGCTATCAGTTATTGTCAGCTGTTAGAGAAAGGAGAGCCAAGAGGTGCAATTGGAGAGCAGCTCAAGGGAAACGCCAAAGCCAAAGCAGCAAGTGCAGCAACCATTCATCAGTGCATGACATGAACATGGCCCCTTAAGGTTGCAGCTGGAGGAAAGAGAAGTTATGGTTTATGTTCAGTGTGGTGTGTGGTTGCATGTTCTTAGATGTGTAAGCGTAGGAATATGAGTGCAAGCATCTCTCTATATATTGATAATAATAACAATCTGATTGCCAGTACAACAATTTGATTATTCAGTGCTTCATTGTGTTGCAGGCAAAGTGAAACATGGAAAAATAACCACAAGAGAGTTGGATGGAAGTACTTGACTTTTAATATGTTCTTAGTATGTTTTGCTGTCTTTAAAGCTGAATTGAATAGAATCTCCATAAGGCCCCATGTTAAAATGCCCAATTTTGGCCTTTCAGCCTGGTACAAAAAGCAGTTTGCGTTGAGTTTTACTCATTCTTGACAACTGTAGGGGGGCATGAATTTTAATGTAATTTACCAGTTTAAATTATATCAAGACATGAAGTCACCTGTATGTACATAAACAGGCTGGAAATGAGAATGATGAGAGTGGTGAGAGTTAATCAGATCAGTAGAATTATGGGCGGTGAAATCAAAACACTGAGCTGAAAGACGCTAAAACACTCCATAGAGCTGATGGGTAATTATTCTGTATCGGTTTGTCACAATGAGGGGTCCGTCTCACGTTACACATATTCATAGTAATTTTTTAAATTTTTAACATGAAAATATGAATTAGTGCGGCTTTAAAGATAAAAACCCTAGTATGGAATGTTTTAATATTTCACTGTGAGCATGCCCCCTGTAAGACAATGAAATACAGAAAATCACAAAATGATGTAAAGCACCTTTTACCAGAAAATGTGACACATTGCAAGTGTCAATAACATCTTGTCCCCTATGAAGCATGTAAAGCAGCAACTTGAGAAAGATGGGTGGTTTGGAAAGAGGAGTATGCTGTACATCTGCCAAAATGTCTGACGCAAGAGAGCTGCCAATATTCAAATGGTAGGGACATGATTTAAAGCTCAAGTATAAACAAGATCCAGACAGTTTACTGGAATACCC